GGTGGGGGAGGGGGAGGTAACGCTACAATCGAGGAGTGGGTTGTGAGAATCCCAAGCGCGAGGGGAAGGGGTTGTAGTGGCAAAGGGGAAAGATGAGTTGAAACCCCCCCCCCCTCTTCCACCCCTTCTAGGAGACCGTCCTAGATCCGCCTATGGTACAAACAGTGCTCCAGTGCGTTAAGCAAGAGCTGAGACGACTGGCAGTGAAAGAAAGGAGACATCTTAAACATCTGGACGAAGTAAGGTAAGCGTCATAAGCTCAAAACCGAGAAAATTGGGAAGAGAAACGTGTAAAATAGAAACGAGAAGAAACTGGGAACCGTAAGGTATTTTTAAGTAGCCGCAAAATAAAAAATTTCGTGCAACTGTTCATTTTTTGATTCTATGCATCAAAAAATCATATTCGTATATTTTCGCGGATTTACTTGGCAAAAAAATTGGCAAAAAAAATTTTAAAAGAAAATTCATAAAGATTAAGGAGCAAACCTTTCGAACGACAAAACGCTAGTGCATTACAATAGCTCTGCTCTTCCAACGGAGTGAAACGCAGGACAGTTAGTTCCGTGCTTTTATGCGGTAAAAACATCTGCAAATTTCGATCGCAAAAATCCTGTCTAGCAACACAATTTGGCAAATTATTAAAACTTTCTCATATGAAAACATTGCAAATGCGTCAAAAGCACAATGTGACACCGGAAACAAGTAGAAAATTTATGTTTGATGTTGCCAATGCTACAGAAAAAAAAAAACAGGAAATACGGAAAGCTTTTTAACTCCTCAAGAAGAATTATTTGGATCTCGGAAGCCTGTCGTGAAAAAGCCCTCTTTCACTCATATGGAACAGGGACAGGGCCGAACCATTCGTTTTCACGCCCGAATGCGATGTGCTAGACCGCTACACCAATTGTCGTGAACAGAGCCTTTCAACGAAACTTTTTCTGAACTGGTAGGGAATCGAACCACTCCTCTTCACATCCGGACGCAACGTGTTAACCACTACACCACCAGCCCTTGTGCCTAAAATCCAATTTGGCAACACATCTACTGTGTATCTGCCTTCCAAGGCAAGACACATCTTTACTTCTTTTTTGTGCGGCTTCTTATCGGCTTTCACGGGCTTTCCGTGAAACCAGTGGTCTTTCTACCCCAGAGTTAACCTAGAGGCACCCCTATTGGGTCTGCATACAACTTCCCCTCTCACACCTGCTTTTGCCATAAGTAATACACACTTCCTGCAGCAGAAGCTTCCTTCCTTAACTGTTTTTCGAGGATTTTCCGCGGCAAGATTAGCAGGGAAAGCAAAAACTTGGAGAAGGCATATACAAATATATGAAGGAGCTCATCTACAGGCAAAAGAAAGCTAGAAAAACAGGACATAAAAAAACCAACAGATCATCAGAGACTTTAAAAAAGGTATATAACCTGATCTGCAACGGTTGCTTTTGTG